AGATTCAGGGCTACAAGCCCTCTCTGGGGCCAGGCCTCTAGGCTTCAGTCAGAGTAGGAAGTAAGTGTGCCACTCGGGTGTAAACAGTGCTGCTACTCACCTCAGGGTCAGACCTGACCTAAGAAGGCAGATGTTGGAGATGTTGAGAAAATCTGGTGCCTGGGGCTCAAGTCCACTTCTCCTCCTCCCATCTGTTCCCATGAGCTGCTCTCCAGGGCAGGAGCTCAGCCCTGCTATGTGCCAGACAATTTGAGTCCCTGCCTATCCTCCTCAAATTCTGGTTCTAACTCCAGGTCTCATGGGAGTCATTATAGCCAGTTCTTCACCCCCAAGCAAGATAGGTGGTGCTTTAGTGATCTAACATCCAACCCCAATCTCTCCAGCTGCTTCCTAGACAGACTTCATTTCTTTTGTCCATGGGCATGGAATCCATTTCTCACCACCCTGTGGGTGAAGAACAGAGCCCATCATTTGTTGTTCCTGCTCTAACTGGGCTTCATTTTCAACCTCATCACTCTGCCTAGCTTGTCACACCACCTTGCCCAGTCTAGTCTGGTTTTGACTTTCCTGTCTGCAGGGCCAAGCTTCAAGTCCAGGTTACCCCATTTGCTAGCTCTGTGACCTCACGGAAGTCACTTCACCTCTCTGGGTTTCAGCTGTTCTCATCTGTAGAATGGGGCTATTAATCAAAGAGTGGTGGTGAAATGTGAACACACTAATGCATATAAGGTATTCAATATAGTGCCCGACATGACAACTGCGCACTCAGCATAGAAGAGGAAGGGTGTGTGAGTCAGTAGGCAGGGCATGACATAAGCCCTCAATAAATGTTAGCTATTGTGCTGCTACTCACCTCAGGATCATTTGGGAGAAAATGAAGTATACTTTATTCGCAGTGGTTGACCTGGTTTCCCAGACATGTAAAACCATGAACAAAAGGCTCTCCTTCCTCCCTCCACCTTGCCTGCCCTCACTAACTGCTCTTTCCCACTCACTCAGCATGGGGCCACAAAGACTAAATTTGTTCCCATCTAGCTTCCCTGCTAACCACCTGATTATTACTGTGCACAACTTCCTTTGCCTCTCTGAGTCTAAGTTTCTGCACCTCTAAAATGGGGATGAAAATTGTACCCAGCTATAGGGTATGAGAAAACAGGTGAATGAGCTATGTCCGCCATATGGTGAAATTTTGTTTTCTCTTTCTGTGTTTTTCCTCTTTTTCCTGGGCCCTGAGGCCTGCCAGCCTTCTTAATACCTTGCTTCTATCCCCACTATGTCACTCTAACCACTCTCTCCTCCATTATTCCTACTTCTCTTCCTAATAAAGTTGTCACCAGCCAGGACACAGCCACTTCCTCTGTCTACACAAATAGTGCTTGTTCTTTCTGGCATTGTTCTGTGACCTGGACACTGTGTCCTACTCCATGGACAAGCTGGGACCACAGATTCAGTCCCCATTCCCCCAGGAGCTGATTGGAAGGAGGCCAGCCTCGGACTGGGCCCAGCTCTTCCTCTTCACATTAGAGGAGAGGAAGCTGAGAGCCCGAGAGCCCCACCAGGAGCCCTGACCATAAATTGCTCTCATTTGATGTCAAGGGGATTGTCCCAGGTCATGGGAGCCAGCTAGGTGCCCTAACAGAAAGTTGCTTGCTCCTCTAAACTAGGAAGCATAGCTGGGGAAGGAGAAAGGGAGTCTATACTCCAACAAGGGTGGTAGAAAGCGCTGCTGTGGTCACATATGCTTGATGTGCCTGAAGTATAGAAGAAGGCATCCAGCTGCCCAGGCCTCGAGGCCTCCTTCCCTTGAGCAACAGTGTTTTAACTTTTCTACAGACACTCCTTTGGTGCCCTCTGCCAGCGCCAACTTATTGCTAGGTATAGGAGGCCCAGAACCTCAGGCCCACAGAAATGCTGTAATTTTAATTTATTTTAACATCAGAAGAAAAAAACTGAACATAATAACTATGAATATATAATGACTAACAAACGGCAGCCTGGATTCCATTCCATACAGTCAGAAAATACATTTTAATATTGTTTCTGAAGGAAGGGCACACCAATGCAAATGTCGCTAGGGCATGAAGTCCACATGTGGCCCTAGTCTCTATTCAATCCCAGGCCCACACTGCCAGGTTCAACTAGTTTGAGTGGCCCCACAGCAGCCCAGTTCAACCTTGGACACTTCCTGACCATGCTGGAATCCCAGAGGCAGGGCAGGGGAGGCCAACTCCTAGCAGGCCAGGGCTGGAGACAGAGGAGGTGGCTTCCATGACCCAACACTTCACACCCTGTCCCCTGGCTGTATTTCACTCCTCCTGGCCTTACTTCCCTTCCACCAGTGTTCTCCAAATGCATTTCTTCCTTTATGCAATAGCTGTCACACCTGCCACTTTCAGTTCCCTCCCCACTGTTACTCCAACCTAAGGCCTCAGTGGGCAGAAGGAGCTTTCTCTCCCTTTATACTGGGCTGTAGTAGGAAAAAAAAAAAAAGACTTGGGAGTCTGGACTGCAGACCTAGTCCAGCTGCCTATTTTCTTTGTACCCCAGGGCAAGTCTCCTTGCCTTTCAGATCTCCATCCTTAAAGGGTGGATGCCAACACTTCACAGGGGACTTTGAGGTTGAGAGGACATCTTGTGTGAGAAAATGGATGGCATGGTGCCTGGTGTATCACAGGCAGTCAGCAGTTTAACTTAAAAATAATAACCACCTTGTGGAGGATAGGAAAAACATCTTTTCGGAGTCAAAAATTTGAAGATTAATCTGGAAAAGAACAATCTGATAGGAAAAGGGTCCTGGCAGCTGCGGTCTCCCTTCCTGAACCCCATGAGGTAGGATCCAGCTTATAGAGGCAGGGTTATTCTCAGTAAAACAAAACAAAGCAATAAGCACAAAAACAAACAAACAAAAAAAAAACCCTCACATTAAGCAGGCAAGCATTCATTTTGGAGGGCGTTGATAAATTTCTATCATCCTGACAGAGTATGATATGCATACGTTAAGCTCAGGGAATCATTATTTCTGTGACAAGTGCAATCTGCTTGTGAGGAAGGTGGGGCTTTAGGAGAGAAAGATCTATCATATGGAAAATGCCTGTTTAGTTGGATGCTTTGTGTGGCTTCAGGGGGTGCTCCAGGCTTTCTGATTGAAAACTTTGGCTGTGGTGGCCACAGGGAAAGGTGTCTGCAGGGTGCTTTTTATTATTTTTTTTTTAATTTTATTTTTAAAATTTATTTACATATATATATATATATATTACATCATTGCTCCTTTTTAAACAATGTTTGTTTTTTTTTCCCCCTCAGGTGTAGTCCCCATAGAATTTCCTCCAATTCACCCTTGCACCATCACCACAGTCTGCTGTGGTCCTCCCTCCTTCTGATCCCTCTCCCTCCTCCTCCTCTGCAGAATGTGTCTGGTTTATCATTGTCTGTTTTTGTTGTGTTTTATATTGTTATTTTTCCCCTTCCTTTTATATTGTTATTGTTCCTCCTATTAGTGAATCCATCGGTATTTTTCTTTTTCCTTATTTCTTTTTTTTTTCTTTTTTTTTTTTTTTTTAAGATTTATTTTATTTATTTATTATTTATTTATACAAGCACTGGGTACAGTCAGAAGCACGGGAGGGTGAGAGAATTCACCAGAGCCAGAGCGGGGAGCAGAACAGGCAGAAGGACCGAAGTACACTGCTGAGGGGAGCAGCGGGCGGCAGGAGAGGTCTGCACGCCATGTGGGACCCTCCTCCGGTGGCCAGGGAGGAGCCGGGGATCGAACTGGTGCTGCAGAGGCTACGGGCAGCTTCACAACCCAGCGCTCAACCGCTGCACCACCGGGGAGGCCCTCTTTTCCTTATTTCACAGAGCATAATAACTTCTATCTATATCCGCGTTTCCACGTTGCTGTGAATGGCATGAGTTTATCTTTTTTGATTGCTGAATAGTATTCCATTGTGTGTGTGTGTGTGTGTGTGTGTGTGTGTGTGTGTATATATATATATATATACCACATGTTCTTGACCACAAAAAAAAAAAATAAACTAGGGTCTTTTTTTTTTTTTTTTTTTTTTACAGCAAATCTCTTTGATACGCTGACTCAGCCTCTACAGGTCTATTTTGCTTTGTGCCCAAATTTTGCTTATTTTCTTCCACAATTATGTTTAAACTGCTGATTTTCTTCCACAGTGTCCGTAATTCTCTCCTGGACAGTAAAAAAAAGGTTTGCTGTCATCCTCTCTCACCCTTCCCAGATGTCCATGCCACTCCCAGCACCCAGTCATGCAGTCTCACGCTCCCTGCTCCCTGCCCCCCCTCCCCACCACACGCATGCTTAATGGCACTAAGCACACACTCCCTGTGCTGATCCAGACACTTTGTGGACACTGGGCAACAGGGACGACTCTCACTAGTCCCGTCCCTGATGTCACCACCGAGATGTAGAGACATGTTGGTACATTTGAGGTTAGTTTTATGTTACCAAAGTCCACTCAAAAAGTGTTTGAGGAGCAAAGGGAGGAAATCAGTTAGGAGAGGATGACTGAGGCTGGGGAAAGAAAGAGGCGAACTCAGGCTGGCATGAGATAAAAGACTGAGTGCTAGAAGTGGCTGTGGATAGTGCTCGTCGTGTGGGAGTAACGGCCTGGGCCGGGCACATCATCATGGTACCCACTCCCGCGTGCACAGGCTGTGGTGATCCATTTGTAGACTGCATGGTGAGCTGGGCAGAGAGGTGGGGATGGCAGCCTCTGCTTTATGCAGGGATTGACACTGAGGTCCAAAGAAGCTCTCTTGCTTGGCACTACCTCTCCCAGAATGCTGGACGTAGGGGTCCAGGGCAACAGAGTCCACAACAGAAAGGATACAGGAATTCTCAAGCCCTCCCCAAATTATCCCTCTTAACTGTCTCCTAGATTCTATCACCTCCTGGGTTTTCATCCTGCTCACCTTCACGACATTCTTCACCTTGGAAAAGTAGTCATTCCAGTGCCAGAAAAACCCCTCACTGCCTTCCTCCAGAACTTGTGACTGAAGTGTCACACAGCTATCCCTTAATACCCACCCTACTACATGCAGCTGTGGGGTACCACCACTGTTTTCCCAAAACCAAGAGGCTCATAGGTCTGTAGCTCCACCTAGCTCTTAGGAACAGCAGTGAGGAAAGGCAAAGCAGAACCCAGAAGAGTGGAAGGCAGTGACAGAGAAGTGAGACAGAGAAGGCACCCCAATCTGCTCAGGCTGGAGGGGTACAGACTGAGGCAGGTAAACCTGAACACCTACTGAGCCAGACTAGCATCGGGTATCACTTCCCCATTTCCTTTCTGAAGAGGCGGAGGCTCAGGAGAGACCCTTGCTTGCCTCCGACTGCTCAGCATACATTTGATCACAAAGCCTGTACTCTCTCTTGCCCCTCCAAGTTGGGACATTTGAATCCTACAGCAACATGGCAAAGGCAAGCTTTTTTTCTTGGGGGAAGTCAAAATGCAGGGCCCCTCTAACCCCCTGAGCTGCGTTGGTCACTAGAGCCAGATCAAGGGCTGCCACGAGGCACTCAGACCTCTCTTAGATGATTTGACAGCTGGAACAGGGTCCTCAAGCCCTCTGGGGCTGGGTTGCCACTTTTCATGTGTGTAGAATGGAAAGGACAGCACAGCCAGGGTCATCTTCCCATGGAGCTGCAGTCAGGATGCTTGAGGCTATGCGTGTGGGCCACTCACATCAGGGACACCAGCCAGGTCAAGGAGGTACTTTGTGGTTTATGCCCAAGGCCTGGATCCTCAGAATCTGCCCCATACCCAAATCACCTCCTAAAGAGAAGCGCTGAGGCCCCTCCCCATTCCTCCTCAGCTTTCTCCAGTTCTATACCAATAGAGCTCACAGCCTCAGACCTAACACTGAAGCCATGCTGTCACCCATCCCATGTGGCAGTTCCACATGGCTTGTCATCTCAGCAAAGACAGCCACGCAGCCAGAGTGCATCTCCAGTTAATACTTTATTGTTCTGCTGAGGGTCACATGTACCCTGCTCTCTGCCTTCCCTCTCCTCTTAAGTGCTCTGCTCCTGAGGCCTTCTAGACCCTTGCCCCACCCACAGATTATAGTACACTCGCGAGAGAATATATATGAATGTGTGTATATGTGTGATATATGTGTCTATATATATACACAAATACATATATATATATTCTGACTGTACAGTATTTATAGGTACAAATAAATGAGATGGGCTTAAAAATTACAATGTTGGCTGGGAACCATCCCGCTCCAGTTTATGTAGCTGAAAGAATTATAAAGCACTAGTTGGAATTTGCATGTCATTTGAATTTCCATATGAACCAAAATGGCCAGTGGACAGGATAGATCAGGTTGGATAAAACCCAGCAGATTGAAATGACACTAGGCCCTTCTACCTGCTGCCTGAGCACCAAGCCAGGGGCCAGGTCTCTGCTTGAATGAACTATTAGGTTCCTATTCCCAGAGGCAGAAAGAGCAGGAAAAGGGGCGAAGACACAGATACAAACTCATCGCTGCCATGTGCTTCTGCTCTCTGCTTGCACAGTGAGAGTGAGGCCCTCCACTCTCCAGAGATGGCAGTTCATGGTCAAAGGCTACATGGGCCCTCAGGGATTGGCAGGCAAAGTGTGGGATCCAGATCAGTGGGGACTGGTTAATTGGTCTCTTGAGACCTGAGAAAGGAAGGATCCCCACCCACATACTCTCAAATCCCAAGTTATCCCAAATCATCACGTCACCTGCTAGACGCCCATCCGTGCTTGTGCTTTAAATCAGCCTCATCAATTTCAGCATCGTATTTATACAACTAAAACATTTTGTGGTGGCTCGGCTGCCCTTGGACTGCCTGTGCCTATCTTCTCCAGGCCAAGTTCTCTGGAAAAGCTAGTTTTAGGGCCAAGGTTGTCCCCATGGGCAGGATCAGAACCTCCACAGGGAGTCTAGCACCGAAAAAGGGTGGCTTGGCCTCTCAATCTGACAGAACTCTGACGGTACAGTCTGCTCTCCTCTCCTTCCCCAGCAGGTGGGAAAGCCATCAAGGCTTCAGACCAACTGGGCTATGTGGGTCTGGAGGGCAGTGGCGGCCTTCCTACTCGGAAAACCCCTCTTCTCTCTTGGCTGAGTAGAACAGGTTCCGGGGCTGGAAGTGGAGGTAGAGTGGAGATGGCACACTGACTTTCTCTTTTCCTGCCCTGTATGTTCAGAGGATCTTTGGGAAGTGAGAAAGAAAGGTAAGGGGGCCACAAGGACCCAGTTCTGCCCTTAGATGCCACCTCTGGGGGCTGCTCTGCCCCTCTCACCCCCTTACACCCTTGGTGCCAGGCTCCAGAGTGGTGTCATCCTGGGTTCAGGCTGAAGCTCACAACTTTGTCTCAGGGCCAGCTGTCTGAAGGATGGGGAAGGAGTCCCGGATCTTTGCCACTTCTATGGCACACAGGTGCCCAAAGACTTTGTTGTACCAGTCAGGAGAACGGCCCCTGGGGAGGCAGAAGCAGGCATGTGTGAGCAATGGGTTCTTCCCTGAGCCCTTGCCAGGAGAGGAAAGAAAGGACTTGCCTCCAACCTCCAGGATCAGTGGCCTGGTGCAGAGGCCAGGAAGGGGCCAGAGCTATGGGGTCTGGTACCTTAGGTCAGCGCGGCAGATGTGAGTGAGCCGGGAGCGGCCCAGGCCACAGGGCTCCATGAGGTACTGGGAAGTGAGCATCAGGGCCCGGACCCCTGACTCTGGCACAGGTTGCTCAGGATCCAGGGACTGGGAAACCAGCAGGCAACCCCCACGAGGCAGGTCAGAGCGCCACATCCTGCAGGGAAGGAACACACATGTTCAGATTCCTCTGGAGGCCAACTACTCACCTCCCCGGTACCCCAGAGCACAACAGGGTAACAGCCAGGGCTCCTCACCGGAGCACCACGAAGTCACGGCAGGGATGGGGCGCCATGCTGTCAGTGACGTAGTGGTACAGCTCCACACCAGGCATCAAGGCTTCCAGCACCTGGGCCCGCAGCAGGTCTTCATCCCAGAGGGCCCGCTCCCGCAGAATGCGGTGCAGCACCACAGCCGGAGGGGCTGCTACTTCTGTGGACGCTTTCCACACACGTAAGGGGTGGCCATCTGCTGCCTATCAGTCACAAGGTTGGGAGCAGGAGGCAGCTGTCAGGTCTGGGTCAGTCCCACTCCAGCCTCAGGCCAGGCCTGTGTTCACTGCAGAGACTGGCCATCCCTAAGTTCCTGGACCTGCTCCATTTCAGACGGCTGCTTCTCTGCCCCATCAAGAGTACATGGAGGTGACAGAACAAATGTTCCCTGAGGCCTATTAGGCTCTACCAAAAAAATAGGCACAGTGCTTGGCATTTCTGGAAATGAACAGGAAGAGGAGGAGGTGATGGTCCTAAAGGGATCACCACCTCTTGTGGGTGACAGAACTGTGCAGGCCACACAAACAGCCACTGACCGAAGCTTTGGTATGTGCCAGGCACTGTCTGAGCCTCTCCCCACTGTGACCCTGTAAGGAAGTTTTTACTATGACTATAATACATGGTAAACGCAGCCTTGCCATCTTAGTCAGGATCAGATTTCAAGAAAACATGACCAGTGCAAGAGAAGGACAGGAGAGTCATTTCTAGCCTGCGGCATGACAGGAAGCTCTGGATGGAGAAGGTGGCATGGTAAGTTGGGGCTTCAAGTGGCTGGGAAATGCAGTGCTTGGAGACAGGTCAGTCAGGCAGCAGGACAGCACAGGCAAAAGTACCAAGGTGGAAATATCAAGGGCTCAGCATGGCTGGTTCAGGGCGAGATGGGAGTAGTAACAATCTGGAGCAGGGCTTTGGCAAGGTAATTCCAGCAGGGATCCAGACAGAAACCCCTTGGTCTCATGCTTCTCAGTTCCTTAAGGTAATTGCTCTGCTGGTTGACATTCTCTAAGAATCACATACAGGCACAGTGAGGCTGGCAGGCAACACCTCCCTTTGGGATCTGGGCCCCTGCCTGCAGCATACCCTCTCTTAGCTGTTGGGCAGCTGGAGATAACCAGCACTCACCTTCCTGCAAGCCAGCTCTGTGTGTTGGGGTCCCGGCACACTCATCCAGCCCTTGAAGCGCTCGGCAGCATCGCGCAGCAGCTCCTGGACGCTCTCCTCCATGTAGAGGTTCAGGCTCACTCCAGTTGCCTGGGCCTGCCGCAGTTCAGCCAGGGCGGGGCCAGGAGGGCTGAGTTCAGCGGCACTGTAGGAGCCACACAACTGTAGCACCATGTCCTGGGGCACCTGGGAGGGCACACACACACACTGGGCTATGGTCACGGGGAGCATCAGTAGTTAAGGGGGTAGAGAGGCCTGGCTCCTGCAATAAGAGTGGTGAGGAATCTTTTGGGAGAAGGGTTGGAAATAGGAGGTTGAGTCAAGTTGACCCCGACCCCTGACTTGGGTGCAAATGGTTCCCTGCATCTGGAAAGGAGGCACTGTGGGCCTGAGCAACTCACCTGGAAAAGTTTCTTGCAGTCACTGATCATGTGTGATAGGCCCTGGGTAGCCGCCATGTTTTCACTCAAGTCCCGAGGGCCTGGCCTGCCAACTAAGATGCGTTTGCTCTTGATTCTGGAGGAAAGGCCCAGGAAGGAAAGGATGGCACAAGGGCATGAGGCAAGACATGTGAGAAGCCACTAGCTTCCAGCTCCCTAGAAGCCAGCTTGCCAGTGGTGAAGACAAAAGGTCCTGCTGCTCTTTGGAAGATCCTACTTCACAACATACCATGGTGCCTGAGAAATCAGGCCGGTCTCTTGTGGTGATATAGGAGAATTGCAGTGCCAGCCATCAAGGGCCAAAAATCCAATGGGACCCAAACCCTCCCTTCCCTGCCCTGCCCTGCTTCACCTGGGTGAGGGGCTATCCTTCTTGGAGACATTGAGGTGGAAGATGGAGGGGGCCAGGCACACTGCCAGGTTGCCAGCTGTCATCTGGTTTTCCTCAGCAGAGGCAATGTCACTTAGGAAATAGAGCAGGGTCTGTAGCACCTCTCGGTTCTCATCAGGGAGTAGCAGGGTAGCGGCTTGAGCTGCTGCCAACCATTGATCCTTGGGCAGGACTATGAGGAAGAAATGGGAGAAAGGCTTCCTTATTCCCCTAGAGGCCCCAGTTGTGCACCTCCTGCTTTTGGTAATGCAGAAGGCACAGCAATGCCAAGGGAAGTTGGGGAGACAGAAGGGGGTGGGCTCTGGGTGCTAGATCTAGCACCCAGATCTAGGTGCTAATGTGCACTAATGTGCTAATGTGTTGCTAATGTGCACTGTGCTAATGTGTTGCTAATGCGCACTGTGACCTTGGGTAAGTCCCTACTTTTCCTTGGGGCCTCAGTCCATCCTTCCACAGAATAGGCTTGGGGAGGCCAGATGGTGAATGTTCCAATGAGCTAACAGGTGAGGCTCCATTTGCCTGCACGAGGTTTATCTCCCACAAGCCCTGGGATTCAGGGAGGTTGAGAGCAGGGCAGTTTTGTGGGGAAAAGTGCAGGAAACTCACGCTGGTAGATCTGCAGGAAGGTGGTGGTGAGCTTGCTGGTGAAGATAGGCTCGGGCAGGTCCCGGAAATACTGCTTCAGCAGGTCAGCCACATCATAGGCCGACTGGCCTTCATAACAGACATGGTCGGGGGAAGTCTCATTCATCTGGCGCAGGTTCTGGATCCTGGACTTCACTCCAGACTTCCGAAGATGCCCACCTGGTCCATGCAGAGGAGGGAAGGAAGGAGGGGTAGAAGGGTGGGTGGGGGACCGTGAGGCCAGCCCTCGCCCATGGGTCACGAGTGTAGGCTGTCCCCCAGAGATCTCCAAGCCTGGCAGGCTTCCCACTGGCAGGGGAGGTGAGAATGGTAACACCAGAGAGAAGGGGTTTGATGGCCTCAGCCAAGGCAAAAGCTGGCTTCCTAGTGATGAGTAGGAAAAGGTGGGCCTAGGTTAAGGCAACAGAGCCCAGGCCAGAAAGAAGTTGGCGCATGGCTGGGCAAAAGGGAGCTTTGGTTCCATCCTTGCTGGGACTTTCTGAGGACCAGAAAGGCCTCTGGTGGAGCAGTCAGATCCAGGGGAAGGAGCAGAGCAGTGCCCTCCCCAACTGCTCAGCCTCAGCCCACCCCAGCACCACCTCTGTGGCTCCCCAAAGGGTCTCACCTGGTCCAGGCACTGGCTACGCAAGTAGCGCATAGCTTGCTGGATGCTTTGTGGTAGTGGCTGGCCTGTGCGCTGCACATGGATGAGGGGTGGCACCCCCAACACATGCTGGTCTCTGTAGTCTGGGGTCTTATTCCTCTTCATGAACTTGGGCACTGACCTGTTTGGGGGAGGGACAAGAGGTGAGGAAGGAGTGGAACAGGTCCTGACATGGCTTGGAGACTGTTTGCAGTATCAGGGGGCTCAGAAAAAAAGAACACGTGTTACTTCTATTGATTTTTGTTTGCAGATTATACTGAGATTCATATATGTTGGTCTATATTTGTGACCTCTTGAAGTGTTTGATACCCACCTCATTCTAATGGTCCATATTTTACTCCCCTTGGCATTGCTTATGAGTGGCTAACTAAAGAGCCTGACAGATGATGCAGTGAAAGGATTATGATGGGGAGGAATTCTCTAGCAATGGGGAGTCACAGAAGGGAGCTGGTCTGGAAAGTGACCCCAAAACTCCATTTTAAGCCAATGTCCCTGGTGGGGGCATGGAGGTTGGAATGGAGAGGAACAGCTCAAGGCCCTAGGTTCACCTCCCTTGTCAAACATGGCACCCATACTTACATGGATCCCATATGCACTGCCCTGCCCCAGATACCCAGAGCCACACTGATCTCTGGAGCCACAGCCCCTCTGGCCTGATATGTCAGGTCACTGAGCTGGCAGGGAGACTCTGCCTGCTGGCAGCCACCCTCTGAGGCTCACCCTCCCGAAGTCCTGGCATGAGGTCAGGCAAGAAGACAGGATATGGGCAGGAGCTCCCCAGCCACCATGGCTCAGCAGCACTCACCAGACCCAGCCCTGTTTGTGGGGCACCGTGTACTTCTCCATGAAGGCGGTGAGCCGCAGCAGCGAGCCCTTGTGCAGAAGGTGGATCTGGCCCGCAAATTGTCGGTTGATCTCCAGAGACTCAGAGTTGAGGCTGGGCCGGTGGGAGTTCTGGAAGCTGTGCCAGCGGAGTTTCCTGCTGAGAAGGGGAGGAAGCCAGAGGAGCAGTTTTGGGTAAAGCTTTGAAAAGGTTATGTTCTTCTAGTCCCTTTATTCTCCCAAAAGACAAAATAAATCAGGGGAATGGGGAAACTACCTACTGTTGACACTGCTGCTGGGCCCTGAGGGGGCTGAGGAGGGCATCATCTTAGATGCCAGGGCTGCCCAAGATGCTGTCAGGGAGGATGGCCCATTTAGTGCCAACAACCCCCAACTGAAACTTCTGTGCCAGGGCTGCTCCAGAAACCCCAGAATGGAAAAGTGGGGATCAGAGACCATCTCCTCTAACACCCTCGGTTTCCACATGGGGAAACTGGGGCCCAAAGAAGAGCTACAATTTACTCCAGGTGATACCAGAGGCAGGGCCTAAAGCAACATTCTGTATTTTGGAGTCCTGCAGGCTTCCCATTTCCCTCCTGGGACTGGCTGCCTGGAGGCAATCAACCCATTCCCAAGAACCTACCCCTGGTCCTCTCCATTAATAAACTGACTTAAAAGGGAGGCAGGATGGGAGAAGGGAGGGAAAAGGAGTGGAGGGGGATAGAGAGACAACAGAGGAACCTGTCTCCACCTCTACCCTGAAGTCCCACCTGCAAGGTCTGGTAAGCGAGGCCCCAACGCCTGAATCTCGCCGTTCCCGGGGAGCTGCTGCCTGGAGTCCAGCTGGGGGCCCTGCGGCCTCACCCTCGTTCATGAAGCTCCCACTGTTATCCAGTTCACCCGAGGAGGCCCCAGTGTAAGAAATGGAGTGTCCTTCTTCCACAGAAGTGGGTTCTCCTCCTGAATTCACCTCCTGCTCATCATCCTGGGCTGGACTGGGGGATTCAGCCTCTGCCTGTGCTGGGAATGCAGCCTCAGCTGGAGTCTGAGATGGGACTACCGGTTGCACATCAGCCTGGCCCAGGACAGGGGACTGTCTTTGCGCCACAGCCTCTACCTGGCCCAGAGGTTCGGCCTGGTCTTCATCCTCAGCTGTTGCTATTTCTACTGATAAAGTAGCTTCTTCCTCTTCTTCCTCATCTTCTTCCTCTTCCTTCTCTCCTGGCCCCAGATCTGGGTACATGGCCTGAGACCAAAGCTCTACCCGTTGTTGCAGGCCCCATACATGCTGAAGGATGTCGTCCAGGTGGGCATAGCTGCCTTCACCCTCCTCTTCATCTTCAGCCTCAGCCCCGGCCAGTACAGGCTCCACTGGGTACAGCTCAGGCAAGTTGTCATAGGTGCTGGCGTGGCTGCCTGTGGAACCACAGGAGCCACGGCGTCCCTCGTAGCCCCAGCGCCTACCTGGCTGCCAATCTGCCAGGCGGTGTTCATGGTCAGGACACAGGCTCTCAATGGAGAGGGAGCGAGGGAATGTGCCTGGTTTGTGGTCCCTGGGCACGTGCACCAAGTAGTCACCCCTGTGTGTCAGCTGAGGGTGCCAGAATGTGGCAGGCCAGGCCTCCCAGGCCCTCTGAGCCTCAGTACCACCACCACTGGCTGAAGTAACTGTCTGGTTCTTGGCCCTGTAGAATCCAGCTGAGAGGAAGCCACGGCGACTACAGGAAGTAGAGGCTTTGGTGGTCTTCTCCAAGGTGGCTGCCTTACGCTCGGGCTCTGCAGGTCGACCGCCACCCTTCTCCTTCCTCCTCAAAGACTCAAGGTGCTTGAGGAAGCTACGTGAACGGTGCTTCTTGGCCTTGGACTGGAGACCCTTTTGGCCCCGGGTGGGGCTGAGGAGGGGCCGTTCACTTGGGCCAGGGGTACAGCCTAAGAAAGGCAGGTCTGCTGGCTTAGGGGCTGGTAAGCTCACGGCAATGGCTGGCAGGGAGGTAACACTAAGCTCAGTGAGGACACTCTCACAGCTGGAGGTCACTGGAAGGCTAGGGCTCAGTGGGGCCAGCAGATCAGAGGAACCCACGTGAGACCAGCACTTGTTTTGTTGCTGGAAGGCCCAGTGATTGCTGATGGTGCACTGCTCTTCCTCCTCTGAGTCTTCATTCTGGGAAGGGTGCCACAGGAGCAGGTCAGAGAAACCCAGCCCACAAGCCCTTGTTTGTGTTCCACTCTCTGTCTCCAAACTCTTGGGGGACATAGAGGTGCAGGGCCCTGCCTTCTGCTTGGGGATATGTTTTAGAGGGGAGCATTGGCTCTGGCAGAGCTGGAGGAAGCCAGGAGTCATAGATGGAGCCTAGAGGGTTGGTAGTGATGATCTGATTAATCTCATTCCCCCTCCTACTATTTTACAGAGAGGAAAACCTAGACCTACAAATGGGAAGCTGCTGGCCCAGGGCCCTAGACCATCATGCAGTAAGTCAATAACAGACCAGAGTTAGAATCCAGGCTCCTGGACCTCCTGACCTCAGCAGCCTCCCAAGTCTCTACAGTCTTAGATTAGAATCATAGAATGCCAGAACTGAAAGGAAATGTTACATTTTCAATTTTTTTTCTCCTCATCTTCAAGGTGGAGAAACTGAGGCCCAGGGAGAGAAGAGGCTAGCCCGAAGTCACTCAGTAGTCAGTGGTAGAGCTGGGACCAGGGGTTTCCTGCTTCCTGGTTCAGGGCTCTAACCACTTGGCTGACCCACTGATGGCAGGCCTCTGGTGGAGAAATCCCCAGGGGAGACCTGCAAAGCCTGACCCCACACACAAGGGCTTTGTGCAGACTCAGAGTCCTCTCAGTTTCTGCAGTCCCAGATTGGCAGAATAAGAAAGACCCTTGGGAAGCTATTGATAACACCCCTAATTTACTGTATAAAATGAAGGTCAAAGGGATGAGCTCTTGTGGGGTTGGGGATCCTGACTTCTCAGACCGTACAGGCCATGTTCTTTCTACCACATGTTCTTTTCTGCCTCTGAGCACCCCCTCCACCTTACCCCACCACACACACACAAACCAAGGTCAAAGACATTCTGCCATCAAAGGAGGTAATTGAAGCAGATGGATTTCTCTAGTAAATGCAGATGGGAGAAGTGGGTTGAGGGCAGGGGTGGGTAGGTGAGCCCAAAAGTCAGGACACATGCTGTTATACTCCAACCTCGCCAAGACCCAAAGGCCTCATAGAGCTCCCCGCACCCCACTCCCAGGCTGGAGAAGGGCACTTTTCTGGATACCCCAGACTCCCAGGATGATGGAGCTAATTTCCCAAGAGAGGTTTGCATGTCCCGTGTTCCCCCGGGGTCCAAGACCACAGACAGCACCCTCGCCATGACTCGCCTGCTTGCATTGAAAATGAACCTCCAGTTTCATCGAGGCACAATTGTTCAAGGTCATCAGCCTCCTGCAAGGAAATGAAGCAGCATTGACCCAAGGGCTCCAGCCCCCCATAACAGGCATAGCCTATCAAACACTTCCAAGAGGCCATCACATGCCCGAGCCACCAAAACCTTTCCCAACCCCAATGTTTGTGAGATTTCAGCACCAGGCACGTCACTGGGAAGCTCCTGCCCTCCAGGAGCTTATAGATGGAGACAAACTACTACCAAGGTGGGACAGGTTCAAGAGCAGAGCAGAGCAAACAGGAGGTGCAGCAGGCACAGAGCAGGTGGAAAAATAAATTTCCATGAACGGAGGCGGGTGCACATGGAGAAGCCTTCCCAGAGGAGAAAAATGAGATTTGGAGGGAGAGGGAAAAGGGGACAGGAGCTCTGACAAGGCAGGGTCAGTAAACAAACCAGTATGGATGTGAGACAGTGGCTGAGGCTGATAAGGTTAAGTCAAAGACAGATTGCAAAAAGCCTTGGGCATCCTGCATATTAAAAAAGCTTTGGACTTTCACCCGCGTGCAGAGACATGGTTTAAGCAGAGGGGCACCGCTTGGAGGCTGACCCTGGTTGCTGTGGAGAGGCTGGAGTGGCTGGGACGGAATGCAAAGCCTGAAAAGAGGATGGCCAGTGAGGAGGCAACTGTAGTCGTTTTAAGGAGAAGCCATGGTTTGACCTCAAACAAGGGCCAAATCATATGAGTAAAGAGGGAACACGTCAGAGGTATGTTTAGGGGACCTAACTGAAGGGAGAAGGCATACAAGCCACATCCTGGCTTTCAGCTAGGGTGCCTGAGTGACACAGAAATCAGAGTGGGGCCTCCCTGGTGGTGCAGACGGTTGAGCATCATGCTGTGAAGCTGTCCACAGCCTCTGCAGCGCAGGTTCGATCCTGGCTGGCCAGCGAGGGTCCCACGTGACATGGCAGACCTCTCCTGCCTCACCCGCTGCTCCCCTCAGCAGTGTATTTCAGTCAATCTGCCTATTCTTCTCCCCCCCCCGCCTCTCTCTGGTGAATCCTCTCACCACCCCCCTGCATCTCTGGCCTGTACACCACATCTTGTATACATGAATAAATAAATCTTAAAAAATAAAAAGAAATCAGAGTGAACCTGTTGATCCCAGCAGATGCATCTGGTGAATAGGTTGGCCTTCTCCTGTTAGAGGGGTCAAGTGTTTGTTTTTTCCAGAAGCAAGTTCCAAGCCAGGCTCTTGGCCTCCCAGGCCTGACCCAAAGTCCCCCTACCTGCACAGGGCCCCCAAAGAGTCCTCGTCCAGGTAACCGTGGTCCTTCTTCACAGAGCCAATATCCAGGGGAAACAAATCTTCTGTATAGCAGAGAGAAGCCAAGATGAGTTGAGAGTGGTGAGTGAGAAATTCAGTGCCAATAACCTTTGAGATCGAAGAGGGAAGTCAGGGAAGCAGGGAGGCAAGATGGCTGGAGCCAGGGAGAAGGAGAAAGCCTGAAGTAAAGGAGGGGCCCAGGGCCTCCCCTGGTGGTGCAGGCGGTTAAGCGCCGTGCTGTGAAGCTGTCCGCAGCCTCTGCAGCGCCGGTTCGATCCCGGCCAGCCAGCGATAGTCCCACATGGTGCGGTAGGCCTCTCCTGTCACTCCCGCCGTTCCCTTCAGCAATGTATTTCATCAGTCTGCCAGTTCTGCTCCCCACTCTGTCTCTGGTGAATCATCTCGCCCTCCCGCGCATCTGGCCTGTACCCCGGTTCTTGTATAAAATAAATAAAACAAATCTTAAAAAAAAAAAGGAGGGGCCCAGGAGCTCAGGGACTGCTGGGGGAAAGGTTGAAGAAAGGCCAGGAGAGTGGAGCTGAATGAGAGGACCCATCAGTCACTGAGACAGCTCCATGAGGAACTGAGGGACTGTACGCTCGAGGCCCCGGGTGGCTACAAGAACCTACCTGGGCTCCCCTGGGCCCATTTATTTTTTTTTAAGATTTATTTATTTATTTATTTATTTATTTATTTATTTATTTATTTATTTATACAAGCACTGGGTACAGTCAGAGGTGTGGGAGGGTGAGAGAATTCACCAGAGCCAGAGCGGAGAGCAGAACAGGCAGATTGACGAAATACACTGCTGAGGGGAGCAGCGGGTGAGACAGGAGAGGTCTGCGCGCCATGTGGGACCCTCGCTGGCGGCAGAGGATCGAACAGGTGTTGCAGAGGCTACGGGCAGCTTCGCAGCCCAGCGCTCAACCGCTGTGCCACCAAGGGAGCACCCCCTCCCTGGGCCCATTTAATCCTGGGCTGCTCAAACTATGAGCCTCCTCCTTGAGCCAGGGGGCAGGGAGAACGTAGCACAGAGGACAGAGGAGACCATGTGTAGGTGACCCAGAACAGGGGATCCTGATCCACTGGAGAGCGGGAAGAGCGGGAAGAATGAGCAGAGGAGAAGGGAGAGGGAAGCCACACACCTTTAAGCTTTACTGTTAAAACAAGCCCATCTACTCATTTAACTAATATTCATTGAGCACCTACTTTGTCCCAGACACTGGGGATACACCAGTGAACAAGACAAAAATGACCCCTGCTTTCATGGCGTTTACGTTCTCATGGGGGCAATGGACAATAAACAATATGAGATAAACAAGGGACTGCAGTTATAAATGCCATGGAGGACATTATTTGGGGTGATAGGGTAAAGGGAGGCTGGAGTGGGGGCTACTCGAGAGATGTGGTCAGTTGAGGACTTTCTGAGGCAGTGACTTCTGAGCTGAGTCCAGAGAATAAGGGCCAGCCATGCAAACGGCCTGGAAAGTACCCTAGGCCAGATGGACATGAAAGCCTCCAAGCTGGGAAGAGCCTGGTGTGAGTAGGCTGTAGGAAGAAGCCTGGAGAGAAGAAGCATGGATAGAAGTTGGGTGGTGTGGGCTTGTGGGCAAGAATACAGTGCTGGCTCAGGCTTACTTAGCTGAGTGTGCTGGGAAGCCAGAGGAAGGTTTGCAGGGGAAAAGTGATGGAGTCAGATCTAGGCTCATGGGGTCCCTTTAGCTTTTGTGCCTCCAAGAGTAGAGAAGGGAACACAGGAAGAAGGTTGAATCACTAGGCCAGGCCAGCGATTATGTTGAATCACACCGGATGTGACAGTAAAGGTGGTAGTTAGTGGATTGATTCCAGATATATTCTAAAGGAAGAAGGGACTTGCAAAGGGTCATACATGGGGGAGGGGTGAAGGGAAGGAGGAATTAAAGAGATTTCCTGGATGTGAGGCTCACGTGGATGATCTTGCTCTCAGGAGTTGGTATTTAGATCTGTTAAATCTCACACAACAGTTGGACATCTGTGTAGATACTAAATTGGTGGCCAATCAGGTCTTGGAGCTTGGAAGTGATATCCACACTCTCTTCTCTACTCTGGAGGCACAGAAGCTAGAGGGACTCCGTGAGCCTAGACCTCCTAGTTATTGGAATACAGATGGCACAAGGGTCCCATGACTATGAGCTCTTGAGAAGGAAATGTTGAGATAGAAGAGGGGTCAGGATTGAGCACTAGGACATATTAGCTACCAGCTAGAGTTAGCAGAGGCAGCTAAGAAGATTGAGAGCAGCAGCGAGAGAAAGCCAGGAATGGGAGAATGTTCCAGAAGTAGATGATCCTAGTCCAGCTAGGGAGTGGCCAACTGCACTGAGTGCTGTTGAAAGGCTGAGTAAGGACTGGGAAATGACCACTGAATCTGACCACAGAGAGGTCACTAGAGAGCTTGATAAGGACTGTTTTGTTGGCAAAATGGGGGTGAAGCCAGGGTGCAGTGGGGGTGTGGAAGGAAGAGGGGAAGTGGAAAGAGCAAGCCTGAACAACACTTTAAAAAAGAAAAAAACAGGAAAATAAAGGGAAACAGAAAAGTGAGGCCACGGGGAAGATGAGGTGAGGGCAGAGGCACCAGGGTGTATGCTCCACATGACATCTAAGTAAATGGTGGTCTCAAAAGGGGTACGAAACAGTGGCCCTGGTCAAGATGTGGGCAACACCAGAGCTTACGAGAGCGTTCCAGCAGAGACAATGACGTAGGAGATGGGTTGGAACTAGAGGAGCAAAGTCCCTGAAAAACTTTGAGCAGGATCCAGGCACACAGCTTTAAATGAGGTCAGAGACAGGATCTGATTTGACCCATTTATAGATGAAAAACAAAATGGAAGAATAAGGAAAGCTTTGGGGTGGGATAGTGTTGGGTAGGGTGAGGTGGGGGAGCCATACCTTCAAAAAGCTGAGCATACTGAGGGAATCCTGTTGCCCGGAGCCACTCACATGCTTTTTTGGCCTCAGCTTCTAAAACGGAACCAGAGAGAGAAGCAGGCAGGGAAATGGGGTTAGTAGGGGCTTGCAGCTCTAGTTCTAGTGATCTAGAAATGGGGAGAGAAGCACTGAGAGGCTAGCACATTTGTTCTATATCACAACCAGCTCAGATTTCCCCCTGTTCCCAAGCCCTACCCCGTGTATGTTGTGGGCCACTGTCCTTGAGCCAAATTCCCTGCTTGTCCTACTCATATTCTCAAACCATGCCATCCATGGAGCAGGTTGATCATCCTAGACCAGCAAGGGCTATGAAATGCTCATTCACTCTCCTCATCATCATATCCGACATCCTCAGCCATCTTCATAACCGAGACTCATTTAACACATGTAGTAAGTGGTGAGAAGTTTCACTATGCCCATTTCATGGATCTCGACACAGGACCAGAAAGGAAAGGCTCGTGTAGTGTTGCAGCTGACAAAGTAGCTGTGCTGGGGCTGCAGAGCAAGCTCATTCTGACTCCAGCTCAAGGTTCCTATCCTGCTGACAGGCAGCTTCCCCAGGGCTCTTCTCCCCCTCCTCCCTACTCATTAAGTTTCAAGCTGTCCCTCCCCAGGGAGCCTCCCCAGACTGCACCAGTTCCCCTCCCCCTCTTCTGCCCAGGCCTATTTGCAGCATAACCCCATGCCAACAGTCATGCTGACACAGTGAAGGTCTGTGAGAATCTTGAAGAGCAATGGCTGGGCCAGCTTCCCGTTTCTGCTCTGGGAGTGCCCAGCATAATAGAGGGCACCCTTGCTAGCCTCATGGGGCCAGGCAGCTGGATTGAGGCCACAGAGGAGGCCCACCTGGCCAGGGTAGACTCAGTACCAGCAGCGCAGCCCTGGGAGTACTCAGGGAGCCATTTGCTTCCCACCTGGGCGGAGCCAGGGAGCAGTGAGGTGGGACTCTGGGACCTGGCATTGTAGGGTAGGGAGAGGTTGCTGGCTTAACAGAGCTGCTCTGGCCATGGAGTCCTGCTCCCCAACTCTGCCTCCATTTCCTTAGTGCCTGTGGCTAAGGGACTCCAAGGAGACTGATGGGGTGTTTCCAAGACAGGAAGAGCTCTCTGTTCCCTGTGCTCTCCCACAAGGAAATCCAGGATGAGATCCTGGCAGCTGGGACTGATAAGTTAAAGGACAAACTTGTATTTCAGAAATGCCAGGCAGGCTCATGAGGGAGGGAAGACTGTAGGAGGGTAGAAGTTGATCCAAAACAATAATGAGCTGATGAGGAATTGAGGGGGAAAGAGTCCCTCAGGTGAGGGTTTTCTGGGGGGGGGGGTGGGGCAGACACAAACACCTGTGCATATCCACAAGGGCTTCTGTCAGATCAGAGCCCACCCCCGCATCTGTCTCTAGAAATAGATGTACCCAAGTTTGCTCAGGTCCATGATCCATGTAGGTGGGTGTGACATTATGTGTCTGTGCACACATCCGAATCTGTTGGTGCATGTGTGTGTTCTACGTGACTGGAACTTTCTAATCTATGATAGAAACCTAGGAATCACCAGGGCCTCTGAGAGATCCCAGGTAGAGCCCAGCTAGCAGTACCTCAATACCTTTGATAGGGGGCAATGCAGACCCAGGAAAGGATCCAGGACTCTAAAGGCACTGGTGTCTGGGGGATGTGGTAAAAGCACCCTGAAAATGACTTCACATGCTGAGCCAGGGAGCATTTGAAGAACATGGTCTTCCTGCTAGTACAGCGGAGCTGGCTCCCACCATTACTGTCTGCCGAGGTCCTGAAGAAGGCCTGTCCCCATCCTCACTGCACCTCCTAAAAGGCACCTTTGCTTTCCTGTCATTAGGATAAAGGGAATGTTTCAAAGGATGGGGAAGGATGGAGTTTTCAGAAAGGCACGCACAGGAAAGATTGGGCCCAAAAGGTCATTTGTAGTCTAGCAACCCCCCAACAGGAATGCCAGTCTTCAGGGAGAGACCCACAACCCAGGAACACACTGCTGAAGTACCACTCCATCAGTCTGTCATGGTTCGAGGGCGAGGAAAGAGAGGGGCTGAGAGTGGATTTCCTGCTCATCACCCCTGTGCCTCTGCCTAAGCCCAAAGGTGGAAGAGTGCAGGCAGGATGCCATCCTGGGCCTCCCACATCTGCAGCTTCTACCCAAGCCACAGAGCACGGGATATGACGGGCTGCTGCTCCCTGATGCTCACTTCAGTGGGCACCAAGGATTTTCTTTCCCACCTACAGCCCTCTAGTCCCATGCTTTTCACAGTGGGTTCCCTTCACTGGTCCTCAGATGCCAGGGGAGCAGAGGGCTGAGACGTAAAACAACCAACTCGAAGCCAACTTTTGGGCCCCTTCTGGTTGAGGGCAGTCACAAGCCTAACTTCAAATCCCAGTGCTGCCAGTCAGTAGCTAATTTGAGGTAAGTAGTTGAACATCTCTAAGGCTTAGTTTTCTGCTCTGAAAAATGGGGGTAATAACTAAAAATAGCCAGTGAGAGCATTGGATAAAATACTAGAGAAGAAAATCCCCTGGCACATAGTACCAGCAAATGAGATCCCTCCCCATTCTGACTCAGAAGGGTCTCAAGGAGAAAGAGCGAACAGGAGAATGAGGCCCAGCTAGTGTTCTCTCCTGGGTTTGGAAAGTAGCTGTGTCCACACAATTGTCAGAAAAAGGGCCAAATAGCTCAGGGCAGTGAGGTGTGGAGTAAGATGTTTCAAGAAGGCTGCAACAGATAAAAGAGCCTAGGAGTTTGAAGAGGGCCACAGGCTGAATGCCCCAACTGCTGTCCCTAGAAGGAATTTGGAGAATGTGATGGGCTATCACACAACAGGATGTCAGGGACATTGGCTCTTGACAATATACCACCTCAAGGAGGGCTGGAGACCCTGAGGCTCCCTCCCAGATGGAACTGTCAGACAGAGATCTTGGTGATTAAGGACTGAGCTAAAGGACTTTGCCTTTGTCCCTCCCACCCATCCTGACCTGCCCAGGCTGGGGCCAGAAGTGACCACCCACACCCAGTTGAGTATTCACATGGAGTCAGAGCGCAGGCAACCCAGAACAAGAATTGCTTTATGTCTATTTTATTTATTTTTTCAAAGAACCAGCTCTTGGTTTCATTGATCTTTTGGATTGTTTTTTTAGTTTCAATTTCATTTATTTCTGCTTTGGTTTTTATTATTTTTCTTCTACTGGTTTTGGGGTTTTTTTGTTGTTCTTTTTCTAGATCTTTGAGCTTCGAGATTAGGTTGTTTCTTTGAGTTCTTTCTTGTTTTTTGATGTGAGCTTCTATTGCTATATATTTTCCTCTTATTACTGCTTTTGCTGCATCCCATACAGTTAGGATATTGGTGTCCTCCTTGTCATTCAATTCAAAGAATTTTTTAATTTCTTCTTTGATCTCCTCATTAGTCCAGTGGTCTTCCAGTAGTGTGGTTTTTAATCTCCATGAGGTAGGATAGTTCCTTGCCTTCTTTTTATGGTTTATTTCTAGTTTGATGCCTTCGTGGTCAGAAAAGATGGTTGGTATTGTTATAGAGCAACCCCGATATTAAACGGGTTCCTGGCTGTGGGTGCTCACCCGCGCGCTTTAAAGGGACTTATGAATACTCTACTACAGACACACACAAAAGGGTTAATAAAAGGTTTATTTACAAGAGAAAAAGAAATAAGGAAAATGTACAACTCAGGGAGAAAATAGGGAAATAAAGTCTTTAATGCGTCCTACCCGATCCGACGACCTGGAAACCCAAAGTCACTCTCCGAGCTGGCCAGAGAGCCAAAAATGGGGGATCCCCAAAGCCCACGTGTCTGCCTTTTGTATCCACCTGGCTGCTGAACCCCACCCTCCGGTCCCAGCCACCTTCCCTTTGGTGGTGATGGGATTTGGAGTTCCCAGTGTCTTTGGCTTTGACCTGGGGTGGGGGTGGAGTGCACAAAGCCTATATGGAATTTGCTTTGGGACGTCCTTTTCCCCCTAACAGTATGATTTCAATCTTGGTGTATCTGTTGATGTTTGTCTTGTGCCCCAGTATGTGATCGATCCTGGAGAATGATCCGTGTGCGCTTGAGAAAAATGTGTACTCCGTTTTTTTTGGAAACAGCCCAAATGCCCAAAAATAGATGAATGGATCAAGAAGATGTGGTACATATATACCATGGAATATTACTCAGCATTCAAAAAAGATAAACACATGCAATTTGCAGCAACGTGGATGGCGTTGGAAGGGATCATGCTCAGCAAAATAAGCCAGAAAGAAAAAGAAAAATACCGGATGGTCTCACTCATAGCAGGAATCTAGAAAACTTAAATAAGGGACCAGGAAAATGAGTAACTATAAGAAAATGAAAATCAAAATCAACAAAAAACTATGAACCAGAGACACTCTATGGGGGGTGGGGGGCCGGAGGGGAGGGATTGGGGTCAGAATGGGGGGTTTGTAATTGTATGGGGAATGTAAAAATAAAATTTATTATTTAAATAAAAAAAAGTTTAAAAAAAAGATAATAAAAACAGTGTTTAGAGTAAAAAAAAAAAAAAGAATTGCTTTATGTACCTGGCGGGGAGCGTGACACTGGGCAGGCTGAGGTGAGTAATGGAGGAATGTCTGCAGCCTCTGGTCTGCCCTCTGATTCCAGATGTGCAAATTCCAGGAGTTTTAGCTGCTATAGTCTGTAGGCTGTGATCTGGCTAAGGTTAGGGTGATATGCCAGGACAGGTTAGGGATGGAACTCGATTGGCACAAGTTGCACTTACACCCAAACTCTCTCCCTGGAGAAGGGCCTGGCTAATTAAAGCCAGAAGAGCTGGGTGAGGGAGGGTAGTAGAAAGCTCCAGAATCAAATCAGGCCCCAGGGCCACAATAGGTCTCCTGGAGAAAGTATCTGAGCAACCCAGTGTGGTTTCAGAGGTCAGTGACAATACCTGCACCCATACTTACACAGGCCACGTTTCAGGGGGCCTCAGTACGGAGCAGAAAAGTGGAATGAGAGAATCAGGCCTTCTGTTCTTGAGAAACACTAT